AGAACTGACGTCAAGAGGTAGAAGTACTTTGTAAAGTCAGCGATAATGCTGTTTTAACTGTTATACTGTTTTACCCTTCACTGACAATCCTTATTCATTGCCTAGATCTCAGATGCATATGAAGTGACTGAAAAGATCATGGCCTGAATCAGGCTGTTGAGTCAGAAACTGACCCATAGCTGACCCTCCCGTGGACTTTCAGAGGCAGTTAATGGCACAGGAGGAGACTGCCCATCTGGTAGCTTCGAATCATGTGCCTTCAGGATTGCAGCACAGCTTCTTAGTACCAGGCCACCAGAACTAAGAAATCTTTATCTAAACTATTTTGCCAGTAATAGTTAATGGTAGTAATGAACAACTGATGCCGTGCAAAGTGAAAGTAATATTCTGGTTAAGGTTCAGTCAACTTACCCAGAATAGTGTGACAGAGAAACAGTGTAACTATTATATTTTTTTCCTTAATAAAACAGTTAAAGGAGATAGAAAAATGAGTGGTTTGGAGCTGACTCAAAGTCTAACTCTGAAAGGCAATAACTTAAGGACTTACCTAAGCCTCCCCTCATCTAGAAAAGAAAGAAGAAATGTGAATGAATGAATGAATAATCTCTCTCTCTCTCAGATCTATATTTGTTCCCATTCCAAAGAAAGGTGATCCAACAAAGTGTGGAAATTATAGAACAATATTACATGCAAGCAAGATTCTGCTGAAGATTATGACTACAACAGCACATCAAAAAAGAACTGCCAGAAATGCAGGCTGGATTTAGAAGGGGTCATGGTACTCAAGATACTGTAGCTAACATTAGATAAAACTTGGCTGAAAGCAGGGAATACTAGAAGAATGTCTATCTGTGTTTCGTTGATTATGCAAAGGCATTTAACTGTGAGGATCACAATAACCTGGCTGACTCTGAGAAGAATGGGAATCCCAGAACACTTGATCATGTTAATGCGAAACCTATACTTGCACAAGAAGGAAGTCGTCAGAACAGAGCAAGCAAACACTGCATGGTTCAAAATTAGGAAGGGTATATGCCAGGGATGTGTGCTATCTCCAAACCTTTTCAACCTGTATGCAGAACAGATTATCCAGGAGGCTGGGCTTTATGAGAGGAAATGTGGCATCAGGTTTGGATGAAGATTCATCAACAATCTGTGTTATGCAGAAGACACAACCTTGCTTGCTGAAACTGAGGAGGACCTGAAGCACTTGCTGCAGAGGATCAAGGACTGCAGCCTTCAACATGAATTGAGGCTGAATATCAAGAAAACAAAGATTCTCATCGGGCCGACTGGCAGCATCATGATGGATGGTGAAGAGATTGAAATTGTTCACAGCTTTAGTTTGCTTGGATCCACAGTCAACACTCTTGGCACCAGCAGCCAGAAACTTAAAAGACATGTTGTGATGGGAAAGTTTTTTTGTCAGAGACCTCTCCAAAGTACTGAAGAGCAATAACGTCACTCTGCGGACTAAGGTGCACCTGATACAGTCCATGGTCTTTGCAGTCACTTGCTATATGTCAGATAGCTGGACAATGACTAGGGATGATAGAAGGAGAATTGATGCCTTTGAGCTGTGGAGTTGGAGAAGAGTATTGAATATACCGTGGACTGCTAAGAAAAAAAATAGGTTTGTCCTGTTGTTGTTATGTGCCGTTGAGATGCTTGAGACTCATAGCGACCCAATGTACAACAGCCCTAAACTCTGCTCTGTCCTGTGCCAATAGCACTGTCTCTGACACACCCACCCCGATTACCCCAGCCACTGAATCAATCCACCTCATAGAAGGCCTTCCCCTCCTGCACTGTCCCTCCACCCTACCAAGCATGATGTCCCTCTCCAAGGACCGGTCCCTCCTTACAACATGTCCAAAGTATGTTAGACGAAGCCTCAGAATCCTTGCCTCCAAGGAGCCACCCGATTTAACCCTCTACAGGGTGAATCTGTTTGTTTTCCTAGCAGTCCATGGTACCCTCAATATTCTCCAGCAACAGCTCAAAGCCATCTATCCTCCATAGTCATTGTCCAATTCTCTGATGCATAACATGTGATTGCAAAGACCATGACCTGTATCAGACGCACCTTAGTCTCCAGAGAGACCCCATTGCTCTTCAGAACTTTCGAAAAGTCCCTAACAGCAGATTTTCCCATTGCAATATGTCTTGATTTCTTGGCTACTGGTGCCAAGAGTGTTGGCTGTGGAGCAATGCAAACTAAAGCTGTGAACAATCTCAATCTCTTAACCATCCATCCTGATGCTGCCAATTGGTCCAGTGGTGAGAATCTTTGTCTTCTTGACAATCCATATTGAAGGCTGCAGTCCTTGACCCTCTGCAACAAGCGCTTCAGGTCCTCCTCAGTTTTAGCAAGCAAGGTTTTGTCATCTGCATAACGCAGACTGTTGATATATCTTCCACCAATCCTGACCCCACATTTCTCCTCATAGAGCCCAGCCTCCCATATAATCTGTTCTGCATACATATGTTCTTTGTCCTAGGGAGGGTTAATCCAGGCTCCTCCTTAAAGGCAAGGGTTCTAAGCTTCATCTGATATACTCTGGACATATTTCAAGGAGACACCAGTCCTTGGAGAAGGACATCATGCTTGGGAGGGTGGACGGACGGTGCAGGAGAGGAAGACCCTCTATGAGCTGGAATGATTCAGTGACTGGGGTAATCGGGGTAGGAGTGTCAGACTGTGAGATTGGCAAGGGACAGAGCAGGGTTCAGGGCTACTGTACATAGGGTCACTATGAGTTGCAGGCGTCTCAATGGCATATATATATGACATATATAGTTTGCTGTTGATTGCTTTCAAGTCAAGAATGACTTATAGTGACCCTATGAACAAAAGATGTGAATTCTGGTCAATAACTATGGTCATTTCTTTAAGTTTCCAGAGGCATGTCCTGTCAAAAACAAGGGTTTTTGGTTATTGCTAGTTGCCACCCAACTGGTTCCAAGTTACTTCTTGTACAAAAGTACAAAACATTACCCAGTCTTGCACTATCTTTATAATCACTAGTATTCTCGATTCTGTTGTGGTAGTTAGAATACACTTTAAAAAAAATTGCAAAGTTTGTAATGTAGTATACATTTTTAAAGTGTCTTTCAATCAAGCAAGATACTGGACAATATCACATTGAGATCCACAGAGATTTTATTGACTCTTTTCTGAAATAGCTGGCCAGGCCCATCTTCTCAGTATGTCTTATGTCTGTATCTCCACTGAAACCTGCCCACCACAGGAAACTCTCCTGCTTTCACATCACAGCCACATCTAAGCCATCACTAACTGGCAAAAGGGTGGTGGACTGGTGGGCTTCAGGACATTAATGAAAGCAGTGCAGGTGAGGTGAGAAATAGAGTATACGGGATGGAGCAAACACCCAAGAAGCACACACTGGTTTGTAATGTGCCCATTTGGCCTAATGAGGGGGAGCGAGAGCTGGCAGCCAAGATTTCAGCATGATTTTCCAGTCTGTTACTTGGTCCACTGTGTCAAACTCAACAATAACTGACAAACTACTGAGGTACCATACATCAGGGCAAAACACGTATCTTTTTCTGTTTGCTTAGACAAGATGTTAGCTGGTTTATGGACTTGTAGTATGTTGTTTATTGTTATGTGCCACTGAGTCACTTGCAACTTATAGCAACCCTATATACAACAGCTCTGAACCCTGCTCTATTCTGAGGGAACCTTAATGTCCCTGACACACCTAACCCCCTTTACCCCAGTCACTGAGTCAATCCATTTCGAGTGGTTTCCTCTCTTGTGCTGCCCCTCCACCCTCTCAAGCATGATGTCCCTCTCCAAGGAATGGTTCCTCCTTTGTGACATGCTCAAAGTATGTCAGACTAAGCTTCAGAATCCTTGCCTGGTTTCACCCTCTCTAGAAAGAATCTCTTTGTTCTCCTAGCAGTCCATGGAATATTCAATAATTAAAGATTTTTTTAAAAGGCAAGTCTCTAGCATGATGTTCTTAATTATATTTTGCTATCAGCTGCTTTTAACTTTTAGTATCTTTTTTTTATAATGCTTTGTAATTTAATGAATTCTATTCACTTTCTAGGGAACTCCAGTGGCTTAGTGATAAGAAGCTCAGGTGCCACTCTAAAAGCACCCAATTTAGAAACACCTGCTGCTCCAGGGGTGAAGGACAGGCATTCTCCTCCTATGCAATTTACCATCTCTGAAAACCTGCTGGAGGGTCAGTTATAACAACAACAACAACAACAACAACAACAACAACAACAACAACAACATCTTCATCATTGACTTTCTATCATTGCTATTTTGGAGACATAGGCAAAAAAAGAGGACTTCGAAGATACAACTTTTTTTCGTATCTAAGTCTAGGTCAGTTCCTAACAATGTAGTGAATTACATTTAATTGTAGAGCTATTTTTCCTAGGAGATACTCCAATTTAGGGTCATTTTTCCTATGGAAAAATTGAATTTTAACTGTTGTTGTGATTCCAGGGTGAAAACTACTGTAAGCTAAATAAAATCTTCCCTCATCACTTGACCATTGAGTTCAATAACACAGTAGCATTGCCATTTAACATATAGCTGACATTCATTAAGCATGAGGCACTATGCTTCAAATGTTTTCTATTTTTTTTAGTTAAGGTTCCTAGTAGTATTTCCATATTATAGATGAGAAAGTTGAGGCTGAGTAGTATTAATAACGTTGGTCAGAGCCCATGTTAGGGTTGTTAGATGCCATCGCATTGACTAGGACTCAACTGACCTCATGCACCCTGCCGTATTTTGCACCATCCTGACCATCTTACATGCTGGAGCCCACAATTACAGTCACAGGCTACCACATGACAAATCTGATTTCAACCTTAATCTCTATTATACAACCTGTAAATGGCCCTGCCAACTCCACGTTAATGCTAGATTCACGCTTTACCACTTCCAACCACCAGTAAAAAACCACATTTTAAATTAACTTGCAAAAGAAGGCATTCAGGGTATTTTTTACCTTTTTCCAAGCACAACTGCTCCTGGGTCTTGGGATTTAGCCTCCAGCTCCTGAACTTCATCTACTAATGTCTTAAAAGCAGTCCTTTTGATACTGCAAAGAAAGGATTTGCATGGAAATACTCTCGTGAGAACGTAAGACGTTACAAAACCACTATCTGATTTCCTAAGCATAACAAACCAGAATATAACGAATGGGTTTTCAAGAGAATAAATATAAAAATTAGTCATTTTGAACACTCAGACAATCACATAAATATAGTCATAAAACAAATGGCTGAGGTTTATAATATTAAACTTCCTATAAA